GGCTTGGATGTTTTTTTCTTTGTAAAAAAGACTTATTTCTTGCCACTCTACCCCAAAGCCCAGACATATGAAGAATACGGGAGATTGTTGTCACATGTACCACACAGCCAGTACTTGCCAGATATTCCTGCAGCTTCTTTAATGTTGCTGTAGGCCTCTTGGCAGCCTCCCAAAAGACCAGTTTTCTTGTCTTTTCATCAATTTTGGAGGGACGTCCAGTTCTTGTTAATGTCACTGTTGGGCCATATTTTCTCCACTTGATTATTGTCTGCACTATCTTCCATGGTATATCTAATGCCTTGGAAACTCTTTTGTACCCTTCTCCTCATGGTTACCTTTTAACAATGAGATCTCTCTGATGCTTTGGAAGCTCTCTGCGGCCCATGGCTTTTGCTTTAGAATGCGCCGAAAAAAAAATGTCAGGAAAGACTTGCTAGAACAGCTGAACTTTATTTGGGGTTAATCAGAGGCACTTTAATTGATGGCAGGTGTGTACTGACTCCTATTTAACATGATTTTGAATGTGATTGCTTAATTCTAAACACAGCTACATCCCCAGTTATAAGAGGGTGTGTGCACACTTATGCAACCACATTATTTTAGTTTTTTTGTTTACTCACCCCCCCCCCCCCCCCCCCCTCAAAAGCTTTTAGTTTGTTTTTCAATTGAGTTGTAGGTCACATTAAAAAAAAGGTGGAAAGAAGGTTCTGAAATTATTTTATCAGAAACCTGACATTTTAAAAAAGGTGCGTGTAAGATAGATAGGTCTTATAACAAAAAATAGATAATCTCTATCAAAAAAAAATAATTTTTTTTATAAATTTTTGGCATTCTACATCTTGGGGAAAAAAAAAAAAATACCCAATAAAAAGATATGTTAATTGGTTTATCAGAAAGATATAGCATAAACAAACTATGGGATATATATTAACATTTATACTACTAATGGCGGTGATCAGCAACTTAGAACGGGACCTCGACTGACATAAATACAGTAATTGAATGATATACATTGTTACTGTACTAATGGCACTCGGTAGCAAGGGTTAACATCTAGGGCAATCGAGGGTTAAATGTTTGCTCAACTATGCACGACGTGTGCAGCACAGAGGCAAGCTGATCATGTACCAGTATGTTAGGCGGTCAGCATGCAGTTTTTTTTTTTTTGTTTTTTTTTTTTCAGAGGCACAATAATACACACATTTTACAAAAGCATGCATAACACATTAGAACATTGTATATACAGATATGAAGGGGGGGGGGTGACACCCCAATATAAAGAAATCGGAAGGGTAAAACGCAGTCAGCTTTTTTTTGGGCAATCTGTACCTCATTAGGGATACTTCTGTTTAATTCTCATCCTGGAGTCTTAACTGGTAGTGCGAGTATAACTTTTAATTGTAAGGGAAAATCCCAAGATGGCCAGAAACAACATACTCAAAGAGATGGTCAGAGACCGGGGGCATATTAGGAGGAGAGATGGTCAGAGAGAGCCGGGGGCATATTAGGAGGAGAGATGGTCAGAGAGCGGGGGCATATTAGGAGGAGAGGTGGTCAGAGAGCGGGGGCATATTAGGAGGAGAGGTGGTCAGAGAGCGTCGGGGGCATATTAGGAGGAGAGGTGGTCAGAGAGCGGGGGCATATTAGGAGGAGAGGTGGTCAGAGAGCGGGGGCATATTAGGAAGAGAGGTGGTCAGAGAGCGGGGGCATATTAGGAGGAGAGGTGGTCAGAGACCGGGGGCATATTAGGAGGAGAGGTGGTCAGAGACCGGGGGGCATATTAGGAGGAGAGGTGGTCAGAGACCGGGGGCATATTAGGAGGAGAGGTGGTCAGAGACCGGGGGCATATTAGGAGGAGAGATGGTCAGAGACCGGGGGCATATTAGGAGGAGAGATGGTCAGAGACCGGGGGCATATTAGGAGGAGAGATGGTCAGAGACCGGGGGCATATTAGGAGGAGAGATGGTCAGAGACCGGGGGCATATTAGGAGGAGAGATGGTCAGAGACCGGGGGCATATTAGGAGGAGAGATGGTCAGAGACCGGGGGCATATTAGGAGGAGAGATGGTCAGAGACCGGGGGCATATTAGGAGGAGAGATGGTCAGAGACCAGGGGCATATTAGGAGGAGAGATGGTCAGAGACCGGGGGCATATTAGGAGGAGAGATGGTCAGAGACCGGGGGCATATTAGGAGGAGAGATGGTCAGAAACTGTAAACATACTGCTGGAGGTGGGCAGAGAATGGGCATATGCTTTAAAACAGCCTTTTTCAAACCAGGGTGCCTTCAGGTTTCTTCAGGGGTGCCTTGGTAAAAATACCTAAAATTTGCCCAAAAATTTAATACAAGCCAGTGAGTGGAAAAAGCCTGCCTTTTAGTTACACAAAGCCACAGGTTTTCCTTGTGTACTAGTACAATTTTCCCAACAACCAATAACGTGATTGATTGGTTAAAAAAAAAAAAAAAAAAAAAAAAAAAAAAAAAAACACACAACATAAAAAAGGCACCTACACAGCATCGTTGTTTTCCCTTCTTCTGCCCCTCTCCGACAGCACTGGGGGTCACATTAGCTGAGTGAGGGAGAGAAACAAAGACAATAAACATTGGAATACTAGTCAGCATCAGTGTGCAAAGATGTATTTGCTGCTTTGGAAGAATAAATCACCTCTAGCGATGCGTGTCCTACTTGTGTGGATGTTGCTGTGTTATATAGAACTATTAGTTTAGTTTCTTACATTTCACAATGGGGTGCCTCAAGATTGTACATAATGCTAAAAGGGTGACTTAACAGAAAAAAAAAGGTTGAGAAACACAGCTTTAGAAGACAGGAATAGACCAGGAAAGGCTAAATGAGACTGAAATCACGGCTATTACATGTTTTTCACATATCCTTCTTAACACCTACACACTATTATACGTTTAATAAAAATTCTGATTTTCTTTCTTATAATGATCTTTAAGGATGGCAAAATGCTTTGTTGGATCTCTGCAGATATATCAGTGCAATAAATACCTGGCCAAAGTTCATAGGTGGATGCTCCCTTCTACAGCAGTTCTACCATCATGGTGGTGCAGCTCAAGCAAAGATTCATCTGACTAGATTTTTTTTTCTGGTATTGACAGTAGTTTAGATGTTCCTTAGTCCAATGCAAATACATCTGTTTTACCGACAAGAATGGTACCCTGCATGGTCATCCGCGATGATATATCGAAAGAATGCATTATGTTAGGATACGGTTTGCTCTACTTCCTAACTGTATGGTGTTGTAATTGTGGTATTGTGGACTGTCGATATGCCATTGTGATCCAAGTCACCGGATGTCTCCCACACGTATCCAAGCAGTTCAATCTCCAAAATCATCGATGTTTTGATGAGCCATCCTGTGTTATTATTATACAGTATTTATAAAGCGCCAATAGTTCGCTCAGCGCTGTACATTACAA